TGGCTCAAGGCTATGACATTCTGGAAGTTATAGCTTCTCAAGAGTCTTTAGCCCTCTGTACCAAGGAGCATTTGTGCCTCACCAAACTACACTTCCCAGACTCATAGAATCATAGAATCATAGAATCAAAGAGTTGGAAGAGACCTCATGGGCCATCCAGTCCAACCCCATTCTGCCAAGAAGCAGGAATATTGCATTCAAATCACCCCTGACAGATGGCCATCCAGCCTCTGTTTAAAAGCTTCTAAAGAAGGAGCCTCCACCACACTCCGGGGCAGAGAGTTCCACTGCTGAACGGCTCTCACAGTCAGGAAGTTCTTCCTCATGTTCAGATGGAATCTCCTCTCTTGTAGTTTGAAGCCATTGTTCCATTGCGTCCTATTCTCCAGGGAAGCAGTAAACAAGCTTGCTCCCTCCTCCCTGTGGCTTCCTCTCACATATTTATACATGGCTATCATATCTCCTCTCAGCCTTCTCTTCTTCAGGCTAAACATCCCATAGCACTGGGTCATGGAGGTGGAAGCAGTGTCAAACTGCATTAATTCTGCGGTGTCGATGCATCCTGACCATGTCTATTTGAATCCGGTTGACATTCCTGTACAGCAGCCTTTCTCAACCTGGGAGTCAGGACACCTGAGGGGGTCGTGAGGGGGTGTCAGAGGATTCTCCAAAAACACAGTATTTTCTGTTGGTCATGGGAGTTCTGTGTGGGAAGTTTGGCCCAATTCTATCGTTGGTGGGGTTCAGAATGCTCTTTGATTGTAGATGAACTATAAATCCCAGCAACTAAAATTCCCTATTACCAAGATCTATTTTCCCAAACTCCACCAGTGTTCACATTAGAGCATATTGAGTATCTGTGCCAAGTTTGGTCCAAATCTACCATTGTTTGAGTCCACAGTGCTCTCTGGATGTAGGTGAACTACAACTCCAAAACTCAAGGTTAATGCCCACCAAACCCTTCCAGTATTTTCTGTTGGTCATGGGAGTCCTGTGTGCCAAGTTTTGGTTTGATTCCATTGTTGGCAGAGTTCAGAATGCTATTTGATTGTAGGTGAACTATAAATCCTAGCAATTACAACTCCCAAATGACATAATCAACCCCAACAGTATTCAAATTTGGGCATATTAGGTATTTGTGCCAAATTTGGTCCAGTGAATGAAAATGCATCCTGCATACCAGATATTTGCATTATGATTCATAACAGTAGCAAAATGTGAAGTAGCAACAAAAATAATTTTATGTTTGGGGGTCACCACAACATGAGGAACTGTATTAAGAGGACGCAGCATTAGGAAGGTTGATAAACACTGCTGTACAGTCTTCAAGGGCCACCCAATGCATGCAATATATTGCAGTAGTCTATCCCAATTTTTTTTCAGGGCACAGTGCTTTGTGTCATAGATATTACTTTTGTGTTAGAAATAATGGACATGCAACTGATTGTGTGGCCTTGAGTTTCTTTTCTTTCAGATTGAATCAATAGGTGTGTTCCCAGCCAAAGGACCCAATTTTCTGAAAATAGAAAGTACTTGGGAAAAGACAAGATGGGTGTTGATGGTGCTAAACAATGGCAAACCTTTTCAGAAATACAGATATTGGACCCCAGTTGACTTTCGGCTGCTGAACAAGTTATATCATCCGAAGCAATCAATCCTCCTTGTTATGTCCCAGTGCTGCAAATGCTAGCAAAGGCGACTTGAGTTCGTGCATTATACAAATAGAAATACAGCGTTGGCAACTATGGTTTCCGCAACAGAATCGTTGCCACTCCCTCCGGGGAGAAAATGGCCCATTTCCATGGTCCATTACCATCAGCAAACAATTTTATTCTTCCAAGTAACTGAAATTCGGGTGGCAAAGGGATTGAATGCCTTATTTGCACAAGTATCGAGGCACAAAGGAAAGTAAGAGTAAGCGAAAAGGTGCCAACAGCAGAGTTGCAAACTCATTTCAGGGCCCTTCCACACAGCCATATAACTCATAATAACAAGGCAGAAAATCCCACAATATCTGCTTTGAACTTGGTTATCTGAATCCACACAGCCATATATTCCACTTCAAAGCAGAAAATGTGGGATTTTATTCAGCTGTGTGGAAGGGGTCTTAGGTGTCCATTTGATCAACTATGGGTGCATCTGCACTGTCAAATTGTTGCAGTTTGACATCACTTAGAATCATAGAATCATAGAATCAAAGAGGTGGGAGAGATCTCATGGGCCATCCAGTCCAACCCCCTGCCAAGAAGCAGGAATATTGCATTCAAATCACCCCTGACAGATGGCCATCCAGCCTCTGTTTAAAAGCTTCTAAAGAAGGAGCCTCCACCACACTCCGGGGCAGAGAGTTCCACTGCTGAATGGCTCTCACAGTCAGGAAGTTCTTCCTCATGTTCAGATGGAATCTCCTCTCTTGTAGTTTGAAGCCATTGTTCCATTGCGTCCTAGTCTCCAGGAAAGCAGAAAACAAGCTTTCTCCCTCCTCCCTGTGGCTTCCTCTCACATATTTATACATGGCTATCATATCTCCTCTCAGCCTTCTCTTCTTCAGGCTAAACATGCCCAGCTCCTTAAGCCGCTCCTCATAGGGATTGTTCTCCAGACCCTTGATCATTTTAGTCACCCTCCTCTGGACACATTCCAGCTTGTCAATATCTCTTGAATTGTGGTTGATGATGATGATGATGATGATGAATTAAATGATGATGATGATTTATTTATTTATCGTGTCAGGGGCAACCAGACAATTGTATTACATTTCTAACAGAACAAAACAAACAAACAGACAAAACACAAAATTTGCAAGCTTGGTATTTGATTAAATGTCCTTTGACCAGTATCTGGCCACTTGGAGTGCTTCTGGTGTTGCCGCAAGAAGGTCCTCCATTGTGCATGTGGCAGGGCTCAGTGCATTGCAGCAGGTGGTCAGTGGTTTGCTCTTCTCCACACTCGCATGTCGTGGATTCCACTTTGTGGCCCCATTTCTTAAGGTTGGCTCTGCATCTCGTGGTGCCAGAGCGCAGTCTGTTCAGCGCCTTCCAAGTCGCCCAGTTTTCTGTGTGCCCAGGGGGGAGTCTCTCATTTGGTATCAGCCATGGATTGAGGTTCTGGGTTTGAGCCTGCCACTTTTGGACTCTCGCTTGCTGAGGTGTTCCAGCGAGTGTCTCTGTAGATCTTAGAAAACTATTTCTTGATTTAAGTTGTTGACATGCTGGCTGATACCCAAACAGGGGATGAGCTGGAGATGTCTCTGCCTTGGTCCTTTCACTATTGGCTGCTACTTCCCGGCGGATGTCAGGTGGTGCAATACCGGCTAAGCAGTGTAATTTCTCCAGTGGTGTAGGGCGCAGACACCCCGGGATAATGCGGCATGTCTCATTAAGAGCCACATCCACTGTTTTAGCGTGGTGAGATGTGTTCCACACTGGGCATGCATACTCAGCAGCAGAGTAGCATAGCGCAAAGGCAGATGTCTTCACTGTGTCTGGTTGTGATCCCCAGGTTGTGCCAGTAATCTTTCGTATGATATTGTTTCTAGCATATATATGCTTAGATGGTTGAATATTATTATATGTATGTGTTCAGGAAGTAAAAGACAGTTATGGATGTACATAAAGGGTTAACCTTTAAGAAATGGCAGAACTAGGAGGATGGGACCAAGCTCAGCACTCTGAGTTAAGTTGTCATGGAGAAAGGGGTGGAGCCAACTGCACTTACCAGAAGCAGACATTTTGAGGCTTCAGTCCTTTGGTCATCGAGCCAAAGGGAAGGTGGTTCAAACATGTGGTGAACCAAACTAAGGGAAAGCTTTTAGCCTGAGTGATTTAAATAAGTCAAGGGGGACTTATTTAGGTTTGTGGTTTAGCTGTGTGCTAACAGGAGAAGAAATCCTACTGGGAATCTTTACTTCAGCAGGAAGCTGAAGGGAGAGAAGGGCATTAGCTGACCTTAGTTAATCTGTCAAATAAGGAAACATATTTAGAAGTGTAACAGCTAAAGAACTAGTTGGTGAAGTAAAAGACATCCTAAAGTTATATTAAGATTTGTTGAAACTGTAACTCGTGAAGCTTTATACCTCAGGAGAAGAAAACTCTGAAACCATTAAGACCCTTCCATACTCCAAATAAACTTGTTCTTGTTTTATAACTCAAGCCTCAGTGTACTATTTCAATGAGAAAAAAACCCCGCTACACACCAAAAGAAACAGTTAGGACATTAAGATCATCTGGGGAGGGCCTGCTCTCGGTCCCGCCGGCATCACAAGCATGCCTGGCGGGGACGAGAGACAGGGCCTTCTCAGTGGTGGCCCCTCGGCTGTGGAACGCCCTTCCTATAGATATCAGATCAGCCCCCTCCTTATTGGCATTTCGGAGGAAAGTGAAGACCTGGTTGTTTGAACAGGCATTCGATTAGGCAGTGTAATTGATTATAGGAACACGGAATAACGAATGATGAGATTGGATTCTGATTCTAGTGATGAGACGTGAATGACTTGTCATATTGATGTTTAATTGTTGTTATGCTATTGTTTTTAAATGCTCCAATGGTTTTGTAATGTGGGCATTGAAATTGCTGCTGTTAACCGCTTTGAGTTGCCTAAAGGCTGAGAAAAGCGGTATATAAATGAAGTAAATAAATAAATAAACACTACAGAGTGGTAGCAATGAATCTATTTGAAAATAGGGGAATCCATTAATAAACTGAATAGGAAACCTTTACAAATTGGTGGCAGCATAGCCTAGTATCTCACGGATGGTGGCAGCATACAAGATTGAATAAAATATCAGACAACGAAAAGGAAGCATTTACAGTAGTTTGTATGCTTAACTGGCTGAGGGGGGAAAGGAAAGGGACTGAGGCTGTTAGGAATTGTGAGAGTTGGAGTCCAAAACACCTGAAGGGTCAAGATTTGCCCATGTTTGGTGTAGACTCCTATAATGCAGTTCAGTGCAGTGTAGATGGGTCCTCAATCAACGTCCTCCCTTTCCTTTCCTCCGCAGTTTCACAGAAGCCATGAAGAGCCAACCCAAGCTGGAAGTACTGGATTGTCTCCTTGGGTACTACGTCGGTGTGGCCTTTGCAGCCGTTGGCTCCCTCTTTGTCATCTCCAGCTTCCTTGCCTTAGGTTTCTTCGGGACGTTCTTGGGTAAGCTTCAAAACAAACTCATGCATGACCATATAAGGTCAGGTTTCAGCCAGGTGGTCAAGTTCTCGAGTTGGAACTTTGATTGTCAAAGAAGGGGAGGATTTACACTAGGCATCCTCAAACTGCGTCCCTCCAGCTGTTTGGGTCTCCAACTCCCAGAAGCCCCAACGAGCTTGTTCAGTTGTCAGGAATTCTGGGAGTTGAAGGACCAAACAGCTGGAGGGCCACATAATTGACAACTCTTGGCATCAATGTCCATGGAGTCATGGGCTGTCTCTGGGTATGCTGTCGCACGCTGGGCCTATACATAAGACTGTAGAAAGGACATAAATTCTGTGTGCCCAACGGGATGCCGGGGCTGCCTCAGGATTAAAGTCCCTTGGATTTCCTTAAAACAGAGTCTTTAGATTGTTTAAAGGTTCGGCAAAGTTCTTTATTATTGAAAACAAACAGGTACTTCAAGGCTTTCTTAATAGTCTATTAGCTCTCTCAATCTTGTTCACTGGGAACAGGCACTATCTTCATAAACTGTATCTTAACTAATGGGGAAATCCTTAACTTCTAATCTGGGCAGTCTGTCTTTGCCTCTGTTGGCGTGGAGCCCCTACACCCAGTACCAACTGCTTCTGGCTTCCGCGAGTGACCCTTACCAAGCAGAGCTTTGTAGACCTCCAAGGAAAAAAGAAGGAGTTCAGGTTTCAGTGATGGCTGGCTGAAGTGCTGTGAAACCAGATTCCCTCAGCAGAGGAGCTGTAAGACTGTATAACTCCCGGCCAAGCTGTAGCCTTTTCTCCCCGGCCAAGACTAAGACTAAGCTTTCTACAGCAGCTCTTGATTTTATGTCCTGCATGAAAGGCTTCTCTGTGTGGACTGGCCCAAAATGGCTCCTATTCCCTCCAAAACCCAGAAAGGGGGCGGGACCAGGGAACCTAACAATAATTGACGGGTGGCTTGCCCTATGATTGCAGCCAAAAGAAGCCACCTATCTGCAGAGTCCCTGAAACTTAGGACTACAACAAACATTCAATGCAAAGCAAACAAAATTGGAGCTCCTGGTACAGCTGTACCAGAACACTGGGTTTTAATCCTAACTTTAAAGGAAATCCCCAAAGTACTTACCCTTAATCTCTTAAATTGATGGGGAGATATTGGAAATATATTGATACATAAACTGTATGTACTTTAGAAGGACTGAAATGTAAGAAAAATCAGGCTCTCTCTGTATTGGAGAGCTGAGCTGACAGGCCAGGAAGAATGCTGCAGGAGATCTCTATTGAAAGGGGGAAGAGAAGGGGGGCATGTTATCTATACAGAGACTGGTACAGCATACCACAGGCTATACCTTTTTGCTTCTAAGTAAGGGATCTCTCTCCCTCCTGACAGGTCAAAGTAGTCCTCATGATGGATTGGTGTAAGCTGTAAACTGCTCTTAGAAAAAATATATAGAGAGACATGCCTCTTGCATGTTGGAAGGTAGAATTTGATATTTCTATGATGCTAAAGTGACACAGTGATGATGTTAATGTATGTAGAAGCATGTTTCTTTGTTTGCCTGCATTCAGAGGCCCTAGGTAATTTTCAATGGTAAGCAAACAGTATTTCCCCCCCCCCCCCACCAATCACTGATATATAATTTCTGTTCGTTGTGGGAGTTCTGTGTGCCATATTGGGTTCAATTCCATCATTGGTGGAGTTCAGAATGCTCTTTGATTGTAGGTGAACTATACATCCCAGTAACTACAACTCGCATATGTCAAGGTCTATTTTCCCCCAAGAGTGCCCCTGGGCAAAATCAACTATACTGCAAATGCTTACTTTGCGTAATGGATTGAGCCGCCCCTGGCTGCATTTGAAGAGGTATAAAAAGCAAAGTCAACGCCTTTATCTTCACTCTGGTTGCTTTTGGACACAACTCCTCACCAGAGTCCCAGCTGGAAACAAACATACTTTTCTGACCTCCAAACAAAGGATCGCTCTTGGTATTATCTCTCCTATCTGCTGCTACAAAACTTAGATCAACTCCTTGGCCTACCTTCTTGAAACTTTAGACTAAAACCCAGAGTGGAGTCATGAAATGGAGAGCGCCAGCTGCTACACTTGAATGGTTTTGAGCTTCATCCCAGAGAGGAGCAAACCTAAAGACTCAAGTTCTAGAACTGCGTTTCCCAACCTGGAGATTGGCACCCCTATTGGTCATGGGGGTTCTGTGTGGGAAATTTGGTTTAATTCCATCATTGGTGGGGGTTCAGAATGCTCTTTGATTGTAGGTGAACTATAAATCTCAGCAACTACAACTCACAAATGTCAAGGTCTATCTTCCCCAAACTCCACCAGTGTTCACATTTAAGCATATTGAGTATTTGTGCCAAGGTTGGTCCAGATCCTTCATTGTTTGAGTCCACAGTGCTCTCTAGATATAGGTGAACTACAACTCCAAAACTCAAGGTCAGTGCCCACCAAACCCTTCCAGTATTTTCTATTGGTCATGAGATGGTTCAATTCCATCGTTGATGGAGTTCAGAACACTCGTTGATTGTAGGTGAACTATAAATCCCAGCAACTACAACTCCCAAATGTCAAGGTCTATTTCTCCCAAACTCCACCAGTGTTCACATTTCCGCATATTGAGTAGTCATGCCAAGTTTGGTCCAGATCCATCATTGTTTGAGTTCACCGTGCTCTCTGGATGTAGGTGAACTACAACTCCAAAACTCAAGGTCAATGCCCACCAAACCCTTCCAGTATTTTCTATTGGTCTTGCGGGTTCTGTGTGCCAAGTTTGGTTATATTCCATCATTGGTGGAGTTCAGAATGCTCTTTTGATTGTGGGTGAACTATAAATCTCAAGGTCAGTGCCCACCAAACCCTTCCAGTATTTTCTGTTGGTCATGAGATGGTTCAATTCCATTGTTGGTGGAGTTCAGAACACTCGTTGATTGTAGGTGAACTATAAATACCAGCAACTACAACTCCCAAATGTCAAGCTCTATTTCTCCCAAACTCCACCAGTGTTTGCATTTCCGCATATTGAGTAGTCATGCCAAGTTTGGTCCAGATCCATCATTGTTTGAGTCCACCATGCTCTCTGGATGTAGGTGAACTACAACTCCCAAACTCAAGGTCAATGCCCACCAACCCTTCCAGTATTTTCTCTTGGTCATGGGAGTTCTGTGTGCCAAGTTTGGTTCAATTCCATCGAGGGTGGAGTTCAGAATTCTCTTTGAGTGTAGGTAAACTATAAATCCCAGCAACTACAACTCCCAAATGACAAAATCAACCCCCACAACCCCACCAGTATTCGAATTTGGGCGTAGAGGGTATCCGTGCCAAATTTGGTCTGGTGAATGAAAATACGTCCTGCATATCCGATATTTACATTACGATTCTTAACAGTAGCAAAATGACAGTTGTGAAATAGCAACGAAAATAATTTTATGGTTGGAGGTCAACACAACCTGAGGAACTGCATTAAGGGGTCGCAGCATTAGGAAGGTTGAGAACCACTGTTCTAGAGGCTCCTAGAAAGAACCCCTGGAAGGTAGGAAAATCGCCTTTCCTTTCTCCATAGGGCTCTCCTTCTTAAGTCGTGCCATTCAATTAGGCATTTGAGAGATGTTTCGAAAGTGGCACGTAGTGCGTCGCTCGAACTAAAGTGTTTCTCTGTGGCTTCCCAATTTCCTTCGCAGCAGGGGCCACTTTTGAACGGTGGGGTCTCTTCATTCCAAGCTCACTCGCCCTATTGCTTCCCTTCCTTAATTTTCACAGGAGTGTGAACTCAGTAGGGTAGCACACCTACATCTACCTGGGCCATTGTTCCTCCAAAACCATTGTGCCGAAGCTCTGGCGCTCTCCGGATTGCTCATTTTTGAATGCTTAGATGTATTTGTTTCCCATTCTCTATAAGGCTTTTGCCCTATTTTCTGCATCATGTCACGATTAATCCATGCCTTGGAGGAGGTAATGAGGTTTCTGTTGAAAGGAGGCCAGGCAGAAGAGGGCAAATATGGGAACCTTGCTTAGCTGCTTTATTATCGTTACTACAGCTAGACCACTCACATATACAACAGCAGCAAAGGGATACATCTGCACTGTGGAATGTATGCATTGTGATGCCACAACTCAATGCTATGGAAGCCTAGGATTTGTCATTTGGTGGCCTTGGATTTGTCGTTTGTATTTCATAGAATCATAGAATCAAAGAGTTGGAAGAGACCTCATGGGCCATCCAGTCCAACCCCCTGCCAAGAAGCAGGAATATTGCATTCAAATCACCCCTGACAGATGGCCATCCAGCCTCTGTTTAAAAGCTTCCAAAGAAGGAGCCTCCACCACACTCCGGGGCAGAGAGTTCCACTGCTGAACGGCTCTCACAGTCAGGAAGTTCTTCCTCATGTTCAGATGGAATCTCCTCTCTTGTAGTTTGAAGCCCTTGTTCCGCATCCTAGTCTCCAAGGAAGCAGAAAACAAGCTTGCCCCTCCTCCCTGTGGCTTCCTCTCACATATTTATACATGGCTATCATATCTCCTCTCAGCCTTCTCTTCTTCAGGCTAAACATGCCCAGCTCCTTAAGCCGCTCCTCATAGGGCTTGTTCTCCAGACCCTTGATCATTTTAGTCGCCCTCCTCTGGACACATTCCAGCTTGTCAATATCTCTCTTCAATTGTGGTGCCCAGAATTGGACACAATATTCCAGGTGTGGTCTAACCAAAGCGGAATAGAGAGGTAGCATGACTTCCCTAGATCTAGACACTATGCTCCTATTGATGCAGGCCAAAACCCCATTGGCTTTTTTTGCCGCCACATCACATTGTTGGCTCATGTTTAACTTGTTGTCCACGAGGACTCCAAGATCTTTTTCACATGTACTGCTCTCGAGCCAGGCATCCCCCATTCTGTATCTTTGCATTTCGTTTTTTCTGCCTAAGTTTTTTCTGCCTAAGTATCTTGTATTTGTGTGTTGCACCTTGAGTGCTTTTGTGAGCTTCCCCCAGTGCCTTCG